GCATAACTGAGGGGCCTGAAAATAATGCACATATACATTGCTTTCATCTACACTTATAATGCCCTATCCAGGCTATCAAATTTTATTTGACAAAACCATGTGACATGCCTAAATATGGTCATGATGACATCACATCATGACCATATATAAGCACATCATGACTATATGTGGGCATACAACAATTTTTTTTGAACATTTGGTTAAGCATAAGTAAGTAAATGTATTTGTATGCAAAACATATGGAATGAATGAAACAACTATACATTCATTTTAGATTTGTATCTGAAGACAAGGTTAAGGATGCTGTTTCATTAGCAATGGACCTAATTAAGAAATTTCCTGACACTATGATTGGCTTTGATCTGGTTGGTGAAGAAGATGTTGGCTATTCTTTGAATAAATTCATCAACCAGCTACTGCTACCAGTCAACCAAAATGTCAAATTGCCATATTTCTTTCATGCAGGTGAAACAGGTATGCCTAGTAATGTATTTAATGTAGTTTTATTCATTTGTCTATTCTCAATTCATTAAAATATAAAGAAAACAAAATAACAATAAGAAAACATGGGACAGGGATACATTAAAAGTTAACATAGTAACTGTTAATGTGTTCTTTGTATTAATGTAGCATCCCCGTTTCTTAATGTGATAATTATGAGTGAAGCCACATTAATGTTCATGTGGCTGTTGAAACCATTCTGAATCCTACATCAGGTGATCGACTGACCTGAACCACACACCCTAAGTCCAAAAAGTCAAATAGGGAGTACAAGCCAACGGGCTGCGTAGGGCCTCCACACAAGAAATAGTGGTTGTTATGAGATTTAGGATAGTTCAGCTCTGTTTGGTTTACTCACATAATACAGTGTCAACATCCCAATCTACAATTACAATCACATAGCCCCCTACACCAACTGCCAGAGTTCTTGGGATTTGGAATTGGAAGATTGTAGGGTTTAGTATGGTAAAACTTGTGCAGTTTGACCACAATGTTAAGACCTGTAATCTCAGTATTTGTATTTCAACTTTAAATATTTTTAGACATTTCAAGTGGCTTCAAAAAACAGAATGTCTATACTTTCACCCCGACCCCCTCCCACTAAAGCAGCACTACCACACACTATCATGTGGACAAAGATAATATTTACAAAAAAAAACTTTTTAAAATATTATCCGCATTTATTGTTTTACAGATTGGCAAGGTACAAGCATTGATGAAAACCTTATTGATGCCATCCTCTTGAATGCGTCTCGTATTGGACATGGATTCGCTATTCTGAAACATCCGGGTGTTTTAGATGAACTGAAGAAACGAGACATTGCAATAGAAGTCAACCCAATATCCAATCAGGTGAGAGAACATGTTACTTAGTACAGCCAAAGATACTAGAAATACAAGATAGAGTTCTCGCATTGTAAAAATGAGGCGGAAGTCGTGCCCAACGTAGGCGGCGCCCTTCTTTTTAACCATGCAAGTTTCCTATACTTCGTGCCCAACGTACAGGGCGCCCTTCTGTTGCTAAGTATATCCAGACGCAAAAGGCGCCCTTCCATTTCCACTAACGGAGGAAAACTTTTTCACTAAGAGTGCGTCCGGCCATGCGATTCTACGCTGTATTGTTGTTTTATTCTTTAGTACTGATTCATGATTATGCTTTAATTGTTTTGTGTATTATTTGGATAATAGCAACGATTTCTACCCCCACCAAGGAGGTTATGTATTCACCGATGTCACTGTCTGGGTGTCTATTCCAGTTTGTTTTTTAATCTAGTATCTTTGTTGAGAATTGATAATAAAATACGCGACGACTTGGTAACGAAAGTTTGGCACAAGTTTTTTTAGATCCAGCTGTAGGGGGCGTCCCATTTTTCGTATTCCCACCATGCATTTCGGTGGAACACGGTGGAACACTTTTTTTGTGTGGAGAACTCTATCTTGTATTTCTAGTATCTTTGGTACAGCTAGTGGGTTGGGTTAATTGAAGATTGTAATTTTGATATGTCACATCTGCAAAATTTAAAGTTCATAAAAATAGATTATTTCCAATATATAGAATTTTTTATTGTTTTTATTTAAATTCAAA